TACCGTGTTTTTTTTTGGACTATTTAAAGAATAACAATAATAACGCCCTTCACTACTTCCGAAAATTTAAGAAAAGGATTTTCGTGAGCCAGTGTCAAAAACTCTTGTCACTAATGAAATGCGTGTAGTCAAATAAGTACATACCTCTATGTAAAATTGCATTTTGAATCCACTTACGGATGCAAAACTAGATGCATACTGCATCCCGAGGCTCGAAACTATTTGAAAATTTGATCTATACGTGCGTACACATGCAGCCACGCACACATGCAGAAGGGATTAACCAGCAACGTTGACTAAGCCTTTTGTCTATGAACTCATAAACACATTAGGCTGACCGTCATAAACTAAGTCTATCCACACATTTCACATCTCATTAAGAACACGTAATTACTTGATAAAATAAAGTTCACTGCAAGAAAAATTGAACATTTAATTGCCCTTGAATATCTGTGAAAAAAGATATAAATGTTATTTCAACTTAATTTCTGCTTTTAATTTTGCTCCAAAAATGACCATTTATATGTTTCATTTAAAAATGTGTCAATTTTCTTGAATCCTGACAGATAGCCAAAAAAAAAAAAAAAAAAGTTGGGTGACAGGATTCCAACGTACTAACTAGATTTCCAAGTTTAATAACATAATCTTTATATAAAATTTAGGTATCTCCACAGATTCGCTAATGAATGAGTATATGGTGATGGAGAAATACCCTAAACTTAATGCGAACATAATTTTGTCGTCACAATCTTTGTTATATTTAAGAGGAAAGACTAAAGATTATTAATTATGCTTGTCCTGTTTAGCACGTTCGAAATTTTGGTTGTTTTTCTTTATTGTTTTTTTTTTTTTTTTTTTTTTCTTGTGTCATTGGAGGACGAAAAATTATTACAGTGTAACCCGGATATAAGAGACCCGGATATAAGAGATTTCTTCTCCGGTCCCCGACAACTCTCTTACATCCGGGTTACACTGTATAGCAAATTATAGCGTATTTTTTGCAATGAAAAACACATTGGTTTGGAAATTATTGCAAAAACCAAATAATTGTCGGATTTTAATGACTTTTTTCAGGATTATTCGCAAATGAATCGCATTATTTTGCAAATGTTTCTTTTTCATAAAATCTTGATTGAAATATTTTTTACACCTGTTACCCTAACACACACAATTTTATGAAATTTTGAGAAATAACTTTTGTATCGCTTAATAATTATATTAATTAAAAGCAATAATATTTGCAAAAAGAGAACCACAGTTACTGAAAATCTTCTCTGAATCGAAAAATAAAAAAATGTAATAAAACTAGGCACTACTACAGCTTCGAGATAGCTAAGTGCTGTAATGAATATGCATACACCTGGGTTCCCCCTCACAGTAATATGATTGGCTGGTGTCAGTCATAAATACAGACTGATGTGGAGGTACATGGAGGACGCCTAGTGGCTAACCCAATTATACGCCTATTGCCTACCACTACGACGAGGACCAGTCCATTACGGTTACCTGCTAGATTGTCCTACCCGGTTACAGTAGTCAACAACCACTTTGCTACTTCGAACAAATATACCCCTTTCCGAGACATATCACTAAGGTTTAAAATGAATTTTAAAAATTGAAAATAAATTTTCTCGTAGCTTATAGTTTATTTTCACTTTCAAGCTAATCAACTAAATTTACTATTTCCAATATGCAAAATACTTTGCTGTAGATACCTCCACTGCTTCGTTAATAAAACAACATATTTGAAAATATGGCCCAAACTTAGTAAAAACTGTCGCCTAAATCTTTATGTTATTATTAAGAGCAAAGACCAAAGGACTTTTTTTATTATTATTAAATTATTTGATCATTTTTAGAATGTTTGAAATTTTGCTTAAATAATTTTTGCGTCACAGGACGGCAAAGATTAGTACAGGAAATTTTATTGTCATTTTTCAGTGAAAATCCCATTAATTTTTAAATTCTTTCAAAATCAGTAATTGTCGGATTGTAAGTACATCTACTCTGAATCGTAAAATAAAAAATTAATAAATTTAAGACATTATTTAATTAGAAAAGGTTTTTAATTATTTATATGAATATGATATATTATGGACATTATTGTCGTAAGAATTTTTGAAAGAACTGTATTAATTTTATTTCATTTTAATTATAATAATTTTTAAAGTTTGAAATCTTTTTAAAATTCTACCTTAATTTTAAGAGGTCAAGGGATATTATTATTAAGTAAAACCTATATTTACTACTAAAAACTTAGAAAATATTATTATAATTTAGCAATATTTTTAAAATTTTTTAGGATTATTTCTATATTTATGAACGTGCCGATTTTTGTAAATACAGATGTTCATACAATACATTATTAGAAAATAAGAGCGATAACTATAGTTAATTTAAAGCCAAAGTATCTAAAATTCAATAAAACATTAAATTACGGAGAATATACTCTTACTTTTTAAAGATTGGTGTGTAGCACAAGTATATATAAATATGGCGCTCACGTTATATCCCTCATGTGGTTTTACAGATATATCCACCGTAAAAAGAAATTAGACACACTTCCGATTATTAGTCAAGCTGTGAAGCTGTAAACATATTAAATAACAGGCATCAGCGAATAAAAAAATGCATTACTGCGATATTTTAAACATAAATTAAGATTTGATTAAAATCCATTTACCTAAAATTTAAATTAGCTAATATTCCTCAAATAATATTTCAAAAAGTATATTTTAATTTTGAAAGGTTTTTTTTTTTATAAAGAGAATTACATGATGATGATGGTTGGCTAAATATAGAACTAAAGCAGCTATTTTAACAATTTCAGAACGAAGATTTCTTCCAGTCAATTTAAATTAGTTGCAAGTTCCAATGCAGAATAAAACTTATAAAAATAGCTGCTATCGGCAATGAGAGATGAAATGATATCCGGGTTGGCAATATTTTCCATTCAAAATTTATATGCTCGATACCTCGACTGTGACGAAGCACTATATAAAATTCAATTTTTATCCATCATGTTCAATATGTTAAAATTATGGCAACGTATTAACAAGAAAATTCTTAAGTTGATGTTAAAAATTGCTGAAAAACATCGTTGATTTATTTAAGATAGAATGATCTATTATAATATGGCACTAACTTATTTTAGATTCATTGTATTTTTATAAGCGTTTCACTCCAAGCAAGGCGGGAGGCCACTAGCATGCAAGGGGTTACAGAGAGTTGGAGCGAGAGCAAATAGGAGTGATAGAGGAAAGGACGAAGAGAAGGATAGGAGATAGATCAAGGCATCTGGAGACGTCGATTGACATTACATTTGAATAGTTGGAGATTATAGCTATCAGGGAAACAGGAAAAGGGGAGGGAGTCCCACAGGCGAGAAGTGCGAGAAATGAAGCTATTGGAATAGAAGTGGCGGCTACATTTAACAGTTTCGACAGTGAAAGGGTGAAGCGAGATGCCAGCCTAGTTGAACGCTTAAATTCATGAAGTCTGGGAACCAGCGAATAGCAGCTTATCGGAGTGGTTACCGTGAAAGTATTTGTTAAAAAGACAGAAGGAGGCGACGGCACGTCTGTGAGAGAGCGGCTGCAGACGAGATGCCAGATCAGGGCCAATTACATTGCATATCCGTCTCTGGTTTTTATTAAAGACCTTGATACACAAAGAAGGGACTCCAGACCATATATAACAGCAATACTCCTTGCAAGGGCGAATGGTTGATTTGTTTATTTTCAATTTTCCTAGTGGAATTGCACACCTATATTATATATGAACCATTATTGTACAAATGAAGGTTACAATGAAATTTGTATTTTTCTAATAATTCTGAGGTAGAATGGACACCGTATCCTAGATTCAGGGGTGTGTTCGGGGTGGCGGGTACGAGACCCATGCACCAGACCGTTATGCTTTAAGTAACGTGAATATTTAGTTCATTTGACAAATGATTCGCGTTTGATTGCAGAAAGAATATAATTAATTACATTTTAAATTAAGCATACATCGTACTATCTCAGAATCGATTCGGGGAGGCACTAATAAAGAAACATAGATAAGTATGGATGTCACCCAGCCGAGGGAACACTTATGACCCCACGTGTTGGCTTGAATCACTAGGGAATCCAGTTGCGTCCAGAATAGAAAGATAGGTAGATGTCTATTGTTGAAGTCGTCTGTCTTCTCTTTGTTTTTTTTGTTTTTTTGTTTTTTTTTTTTTGCTGTTATGTCACAAACTTAACCAAATACAATCCATCACTTGCAGAATTCCACGGCTATCAGGTCCCAACAACCTCAACCCAGTTCGGGTCGTCAGAATTCTTACTAGAATCGTTTCTGTATCGACTGTTATGAAACAAAACGAGTAAACCGAAAATTTTCAATCGTTGATTCAACTGTGATATAGCTTTGCGAATTGACGAATTGAAACCAGAGGTGACACAAAAGCAACAACAATAATTAAAAATACGCCAGATTTGATGCCTTCTTAAAAAGACACTTCCGATCTAAAAGATTTCACAATATAATAAGAAGTGCACTTATTGAATACATTTCAGCTTGAACGGTCCTAATGTCTCCTAACTACAAAAACAGAACTAATTTTTTAACAGCTCAGTAAAACGTTATATCAGTTTAAGCTATTTCCTTGGCACTTTCGCTGATCCCGCCAATTCTAAAAGCTCTCAACCAACTTGTCAGACTTGATAGAATCCTGTGTAAAATATATGTCTGCCTTTGGTAAAATCAGGATTTAATAGATAACCTTTACTTTCAGCGCATTTTCTTGGTTTCACCTGCCGCTACAATTTCTTAACTCGCATCTCTTTATCATGGCTTGTACAATTAGTTTAATTTTATTGACAGTTAAGTTCGAAAAGCTCACCTGTTGAGAAGACAGAAGTTTTAGCCAATCTCCACACCAATCGCCTCTGTTTCAATCAACAAAAGTTTCTGTTAGTTTCCGTATGTAACTTAATTGCAATATTGTTTGAAATATGCCTTTTCTTTCGTTCATTCTTTCTTTCTTTCTTTTTTCTTTCTCTCTTTTTTATCTTATTCTCTACATTAGTTTCTTTCTTTTTTTTTTTCTATTTGTATCATTTTTCCCTTTCCCTTCGGAATCTCTTTTTCGTTTCTTCTTTCTTTCTTACCTTTTCTTTCATTCTTCAATATTTTTACATTCACTACTTAGAAGCGGGAATGATTTCTGTTTTTTCATTTGTACATTTTTATTTGGCTTTAAAACCATAATTTCTACTTTGTTTATTTTCTTGTTCGTTCCTTCTTTCTTTCTTTCTTTCTTTCTTATTTACAATTGTACACTTCTGTATTTCTATCTTTTTTCTTCTACACAACTATTAGCTTTGTTTATTGGTTGTTTATTTCTATCTTTCTTTTTCTTCTTTTCTTTCTGTTTTCTTTCTTTCTTTCATTCTGTTTTTCTTTCTTTCAAAACACTTTACACTTTCTTTCTTTTTTGTTCTAATCATGTATTATCTTTTTTTGTTTATTTTTCTTTTTCCTTTTCTTTCTTTCTTTTTCTTTCTTTCTTTCATTCTAAGTTTAACCCATTCTTCATTTCAGAACTAGGCCTTTCTATTTCTTTCTTTCTTTCTTTCTTTTTTGTTCTAACCAAGTGTTAGCTCTGTTTATTTATCTTTTCTTTCCTTCTTTCTTTCTAAATGTAACCTTTTTGTTGTTGTCGCCTCTCTTTATATATTTCTTTCGTCCTTTCCTCCTTTTTTTTCTAATACCATATTAATTTTCTATCTTCCTTGCCCTGATATTTTGCCATATACGCTGATTCCGTTTCTTTTCTTTCTTTTCATTCATATTCGAAACTTTTTCTTCTTCTGAGTCTCTTGCAATGTTGTTTCCTTTCATTCTCTCATTCTTTTTCAAGAAACATCTTCAGATATTTTTATTCTTGACAGCCGATAAACTTTATGGTTTCATGGCAAAACGGATAACTGCAAGCAAGAATGAAATTGCAGAAGACCGAAACCATTATCTCTCGAGCACAAAAAACCACGACGGCAAATGGATTTTTCCTTTGAAATCATCTATTCTGTTTTCACCATCTTGACGAGCAAATTCTTTCAGTCTTGAAAGCTTTCTGAGAAATTTCAAGTACTCAAACTCCTTTTAGCATTTTTCAGGTCAAATACAGCGAGAAATTTCCAACATAGTCGAACAAAATGCGTAGTGTGAAAGGGAAGTCCTGTCGGGATTTAGGATATGTTTTCTTCATTTTTATAAATTTTTTTTTGATAAACAGGATAATTAAATTCGTATAAAATACTTATTCCATTTTGCTAGGGAAATGGACGAGGAGGCAGTTTATTTAAGCGTACTATAGAAAACATAATATTGAAGCGAGAACTTAATTTTCTCTGACGCTAATTAGACCCAGTAGCTTTATTTGATTCATTCATAAAGAGGACGCAATCTTTTGGAGAGAGCGGGCCAGAAAGCTCTGCATTGTCTTGGAAGAAAGTCATGATATCAAATACTTTATAACATATTGTTGCAATCTCAGACTGCTTTGTCCAGAAGGCTGTCTTGGTCTGGAAGTTTAAAGAAAAAAACAAAGTTAATGTTATATTATTTAAACAGGTTTCTTTTTTTTACTACAGGATAAAAATTAGCACAATCAACAAAAATGCTAATTATTTACTACAAACGTAATACAGTTAGAAATGGCAAATTATTTAATTAGATATTTGTTTCTGCTCATTATTTGATAACTTCTTCACATCAGATGGAATATTTGTCAATGACATGGCCAAATATCAACCAGGTGGTCATTGCACAATCTTGTTCTTAAACGAATTTCAGTATATCATCATTTTCGGAAAAATTGGTTCTCAAGCATAGGCACTTCCAAATAATGATACCATAATTTTCGCATTATTCAATAGGCTTTTCTATTTTCCATTTGTGAAAACAGATTTCTTGAAGAAGTCAGCAATGGATTCGGAATGAAATTTTGATAAAAAAATTCGTCGCATTGTAAGTTAGTTAACTCCAAATTATATTTTTTTCAACAACTTAATCCACAACTTAATTCCCTAATTAGTAACTGGGCCGGACAAAAATCATTCGCAGGTTGGATGTGGGTTACATATGAACATATATAGATAGATAGAAAAATACATAGATAGAGAGAGACAGAAGACAGTGTGACAAAGATTAGATATGAAGACGAACAAATAGATAAAGAGAGTAAGGGAATAAAGAGTCAAAGAATTAGATATGAACAAGCGCGCCCGGAACACACACACACACACACACACACACACACACATATATATATATATATATATATAATATATATATATTGAGAGAACCAGAGACCAAATAAGACATATCGGATATATATATATATATATATATATATATATATATATATATATAGAGAGAGAGAGAGAGAGAGAGAGAGAGATAGTAGATAAAAATAGGAAGCGATAGATAGACATATAAATAGATATTTAGAAAGAAAAAACGAAGTAGAATGTTATTAGATTATTCATATAACTCTTCTCATTGTATAAAGGAAGGCATACTGAATACGTCCAAATACAGGATTTTGCAGGGTTCATTTTATTCATACCAAAGAGTGATCAATATCAAGCGATATTTCTTGAAAAGTTGACATGTTTTATTTTATAAAAAAATCAGTTCAAATAAATAACGAAAACATGACGCAAAAAATTCAAGGAATCATGAAAATTTACATAAGATTTACGTTTCGGTGAGGTTGTCATTGTTGCAGACATCCGCCCAGTGACATTTATGCTCTTCGAATACCCGAAGGACCGATTTGCCTTTTAAACTGCAACTATAATGAGCGGACCTGATTAACAGCTTCTGGTAGAGAGTACATAAAATGACGTAATCAGTAATTTTCACTAAGACTGTACTCTCGGACACGATGACTTCTAACTTCATGCTCTAATGTAGTACGACATCCAAAGAATTTTATCTACCGATTATTCTCATCGTATGGTTTTCGGTTTCCTCACCAAGTTTCCACGTAACGATCAGACCTGATGATTGCGTTTAGCATAAAACATTTTGTCACCTCTGAGTGTTGACTTCAGTGTTTATTTTTATGTTTACATAAGCTCGATCTCTGATATTGAGGACTTTATACCAAAAATATAGCATACATTATATATATATATATATATATATATATATATATATATATATATATATATATATATATATATATATAAGAGACAGAAGAGTAAAATATATAATCCGATGTTCTTATTAATATTTTTATTTTTACATAACAGTGCCCAATGCAAATCTACAGAGCATAAATATTATTAATTTACTTCTTTAAAAATATTGTTCCATTATTTTGTAACATTTTCGCTGCAAATACATGCCGCTGAAGCAAACAATATATCACCGGACATCACCATCCACATTTTGTCAGTAAGGATACGAACCCAGTCCGATTTCCGGGCATAGGCTAAGCACTGTCCGTACACATAGAGACAGTGATATTTATATTCAATTCATGTTTCAAGAAATACTTTCATAGTTGTCTTTATTGTTGAAATATTAGGCGATATTAATTTGTTTGGGCATTGAGCAAACCTGGATTGACTGGGTAACATTGATCACATATATAAATAATAGCTGGCCAATCGTATTCGAGGATAACCGTCTATTATAGCGGCTAGCCTATCCCTATTGCAGACTCTCGATCAGGCACATATGTGTTTGTTCAACACCCACAGACCTACTGCAATAAAACTGCAACTATGCTGAGCAGACCTTACTTACAGTTTCTGTTGGGTGGGGAGCTTTGTTAACTAGGGTGATCAACAATCTGAACAAGGCCAGAACACTCAAACCTTCGGTCACGTGCTATCGATGGCCCCGAAGGATTCCGTCTACCCAATTTCACATGGGTCAGCCAAAGGTGCTGCACGCCCCACCTCCTGACCGATAACATCAGGAAGTCTACTTCGTTACAAGTCAACCGGGGTGAGATTCGAAACCGGGTCTAATGGTCAAAAAGCGAACATTCTAAACACCCGGCCACGCGCCTCTGATCATATATGATTACATATACATCATGGCTCTAACATATCGTGATTCATATCAGCAATTCTGCTCTTAATAATATCGTTAGGAACTAGAACTGGTGCAACAATCCTTCCTGAATATTTATTACAAAATTTCGGCCGTTGTGCGCTCCGGTCTTCTTCAGGTGGTTCTTCAGGAGATAACTGATAACTGACATACATTAAAAAATGGCACGTCAACTAGTCTACGCCAGCGAGCGAAATAAAAGGTTCAGTTCGACATTCCCACCACCTGAAGAAGGTCGGAGCGTACAACGGACGAACCATTGTAATAAATATGGCGACAAAGATGAGGACAATAGTCCAAATAATATAAATAGTGTACATAATACTTCATCTCAGAAATATAGACAGATATTGAAGCAGGCCGGAGCGTACAACGGCCGGAACTTTGTAATATGGCGACAAAGATGAGGAGAATAGTCCGAATAATGTACATAAAACCTCATCTCAGAAATATAGTCAGATACTGAAGAAAGCCGGAGCGTACAACGGCCTAAACGTTGTAATAAATATGGCGACAAAGATTTGGACAATAGTCCGAATAATGTAAATAGTGTACATAATACCTCATCTCAGAAATATAGACAGATACTGAAGAAGGTCGGAGCTTACAACGGCCGAAACGTTGTAATAAATATGGCGTCAAAGATGAGGACAATAGTAGGAAAAATGTAAATAGTGAACTCTATTATCAGTCAAAAATTGCTTATTTTCAGTTAATTTTTTATGTGTCAGTTGTATTTGTTGTGCGTGTTTTTTGATCATTGACATTTATTTCTTGACTTTGTCTTCTCCTGCCACATTTGTCTCACATTTAATAAGTGTTCTTGACCCACTTTTGCTCGTATTAACAAGAATTGATTCTTGCAACTCACCTGTACTAAGATTATAAAATAAATGAACAAATCTTAATTTATTTATTATTACTAGAAATAACTGTGAAAATGTCACGGTTTGCCTATGTGAATTTTCTGAAGAATCTTTATTATGTTAATAACATTGAATTAACAAATAAATTGCTTTTAATATATCCGACGATAACATTGTCGTCTAAATTGTTGTATTGCATCGTTAAATATTTGATTTTAACAGCTTTAACAATGATAAATATGGCTGCAAGTTCTTATTTAAAGAAGTAAGGTGCAAGGAGAGGGTACAAATAAAAAGCTTCGAAATTGTTCTTTTTTTTTTTCATTTTACAGAATCAGACGTTAAAAAACTGAGTTATCACTTCCTGATTCTTTTCTCTTTGATTCTTTCTTTCTTTCTTTCTTTCTTTCATTTTTTCTTTCTTTCTCCGACAGAAACAGCGTTTATCCTTGCGAAAAAAACGGACTAATGCATTATTCATTAGGTATTGGCAATTTGTAACGTACTAATGAAGAAAAAAAAGAAGAAGCAGATTTATTCGATGGCTGACCGAAACAGTTTTTTTTTTTTAAATTTTGCTGTTTTTATTGTATTTTCTTTCTTCCTTTCCTTCTCCCGTTCTTTCTTTCTTTCTTTTTTAATTTTTCCTTTCTTTTCTATCTTGTGTTTTCTCTTTCGAACATTTCTCTATCTCTCTCGCTCTTTCTTTCTTTCAATTTTTTTTTAAATAAGACCAAAAACTCGTAAAGAAACGGTGACGCCCTCAAGAAGTCGAATAGTCAAGACGCCTCCCGCACCCAGATTACTTAGTGTGCCAAACCAGCACGTGGTAATAAGATTTATGACAAACGGTTGACATGCGACCTCTTGATCATC